TGTGTGTGAATATTAGCCATTTGTAAATAACTGTTCCTGCATGTTACTGCTCAATGGAAGAGACCACGCTCACCATCCGACGTGACATAATAGTCGAACATGGTGTCCTCAGTCCCCGCGAGGGGTGGCAGATCCAAGGCCAGCGCTGCCTGAGACCGCAGCCAGAGCTCCAGGCGGTGCCGGCCAGCCAGCTCCAGCAGCGCCCCAACGCTCCACATCAGGGAGAAGACGTACAGCCTCCCCAGGTGCTCCGCTGTGACCTCCACACCTTGCTCCTGAGCACGCAAGAAGGAAAACTCTTTAAATTACTTAAATCTTCAACCGAAACTTTGTTTTGAGGTTTTAACGAAGATAGCCAAGACATAAAAGGGACAACAGTTTTCCTCCAAAACAACAGCAAGAGAAGGAAGAAAGAAACGAGAACAAACGTGGAACTGAGCTCTGGGAATACCAATCAAGCTGGGCTGCGAAATGAATTTAGAATGCTTACTGGATGACTGTGAGCCTGCAACTAACTTACAAACCCATGGCTTGCTTCGTGGGGAAAAAAAGAAATGAAAAAAACACCCGAAACACCCCTCTCACCCCCTAGTTGCAACAATCGATTTCAAATGTCGCACCCTCTGCACGGTGTGGCTTCGTGAATAAGAAAGAAATTCTCTAGAAAACTGAGCGATTTACCTTGGGAGGGATCAGACCTTGCAGCATGTTAATGCTCTGCATGATTACAAAGGCCTCGAGCATCTCCATCTTGTATTCTAAGTTCTGAACGCTGAAGCGGTACAGGTCTGGGAAAGACTTGGTGTACAGCTGACGAAGAATTTCAGCTTCTTGAGGCGAGCGTTTTTTAAGAAAACCCTGTTGGTTTACAGATTAATATGTTAATTAAATTTATTAGCACACCATGAAAATGGCCATTTTTGGACAAGGATTTAAAATATCAATTAACAATAAAAATAATATCTAATGATTATACTGCCCTTATGATAGGCCATGTTATAAATTGTTATAAATTCTTTCATGTATTAACACATTTAATGCTCAAAACAATTTAATGAGGTAGGAGTTATTATCTTCCTTTTATTCAGATGAAGAAACTGAAGCCCAAGAAATGTAAGCATCATGCCCAGGACCCCACAGCTGGCAGGCAAGGCCAGAATTCAAATCCAGAGTCTGGCTCCAGCGTCCACATATTCATTTCTATTACACTACATATATGCTCAAGTCTTGAGTCTCAAATGAGAAAATGTCTTCAGCTCTTGATTAAAATATGCCCGAAGAAAATGAGGAGGCAAATATATGGAAATAATTTAGAAAAACAGAATAAAATATGAACAAAGGAAATCCACGCCCAGATCTTACAAAATTAGAGACAAAAGGTTATCAGAACTTGTTTTTCCCTTTTATTTCTTCTAATTTAATTAATAACCAATGGAGAAAAATGTCAAAGAATACTCAGGAAAATGGAGAATTCGGTCATTGGTGGAACCCAATATGAGGAAAGTACATGTCATTTATAACAGAATACCACTTAACACAAAACGTTATTTTCTTAAGGTGAAGAAAGTTCCATTGGCATCATGAGATCAGCTCATTCTTAGAGACTCTGAACAGAAGCAGTGAAATGTTGATTCCAAATTACTCACTGATTCATGAATTGACCATGGTTCCACATCAACAAAAAACAAAACGTAGCACTTCCATGTCTATGGAACCAAAAGAGCATCATACACAGGGCCAAGTAATCAGCTCGGCTCCCTCAATCTGATGGATTCCCTTGGACGCCTTCTCCATTGCTGTCCTCTGTTAACTGTCTCACAGCTGCCTGGCTCTGCTCTCAAGATGTCCAACCTGATCCTTTGTAAGCCTTGCCTCTTCCTAACCACTTGCAAGAAGATACTGCATTATTCAAAAGCATGTAAAAACATTAGGCAGCTGTAACATAAATATGGCCTTCCTCGGCCTCGACATGGACGGAATATAATAAAAACTTCTTCTATAAATAGCAAACTCTAAATATTCATTAGCTAGTAGCTTAAAAGTATTTTTTTAAAGCCTTTGTAAATTGGAAGTATTTGGGAAAATCGCATGAATATATTTTCACTTGGAATTTGCTGTATCTGTGGTTACCAAGCCTAAATCTATTACGGTGGTTTAAACAAAGAAAGAAACAAACAAACAAACTCCTGAATCCCCTCTCCCCAGAGATTCTAATATGGTAGGACTGGAGTGTGACGCAATCACCTGTTATTTTAAGAACTGTCACTGGTGATTATTTTTGCAAGACCAGGGTTGAAAACCCTGTATTCTCCTTAATGCATGAATAATTTAATTGAGAAACCTTTAGAAGCATTTTCAGTGACATATCCAAGTATATGTCAGCATCATTTTGTTATATAATCCCCTTCTTCATATCTTCATACATTAGTAAATCTAAATCCTTTTGAGACTCATAGTTGTGTAAATTCTGAAAATACATTATTATAAGTTAGGATATACCCAAGAGAAGCATAAAAAATTAATGGCAATATAAAACAAACATCTACTTGATATAAACAATGAATTTGCAAGTTTTCTATCAAAATCATCTCAAAAAAACCTATGTAAATGAAAATAATGAATTTGGTGAACAGTGTCATGAAAGATTTTACAGATGGCTTATCTAACTAATAAGCATTCTCCTTACTTAGTAAAATAAGTATACACGGCATTTAATTATAATCTAATTATAAGCAATAAACTCTAGAATATATTGGTGGGAATACAAAGTAATATGCCATATCATGAACTGAGGAGATATTATCAGAAATATTATTTCCAAATACAAACTTAAAACTAATATTATGACTATTAAGTCTAATAAAAATCCATTATATGCAATTTTAATAAATTGTCCTCAAGTTCATATTCTAAGATGGTTGCTCCCAAACTTTATGCGAATGAGTACCTTTTAAAAATGTCATGAAGCCCCAAAGTGACAAAATTAAATTTTACTTATTCAGTCACAGTTTGGCAGGATTATTGATTCACCTGGGCCTTGCAATTACTCCACTACCCAAGGGTTAGAAATCACAGCTCCGACGTGATTAGAAGAAGAGCTTTGAATAAACCTAAGGGGCCATCAGGGTGCGAACGGCCCAGAGCATTCAAGGATCTTTCATAAACATGAGCATGAAAATGCAATTACACCGCAGGTCTGCAGAAAAATCAGCACACACTCGGGAAGAACACTACAGGATCTGTTTCTCTCGTCGGCTATACGAAAGAGAGGCTCCGAGCATACCTCCAGAATCGGGCTCCAGTCGAGGACAGAAGAACTCATGAACACCATTCCGTTCCTGGAGACGGTGGCGGGTGAAGCGTTGTCAATGTTATGAGGCTCGAACACGATCTTACAGTTCGGAGCCATGGGGATCCGATCGCCGTTGGCAAGTGTGAGGGTTTTGTTATCGTCCAAAACGGAATTCAGATTTTCAATCCAGATGGCATCTACTGGACCATCAAGAACTATCCAGATATGCTCCCCTGGAAGAGCCCACCAAAGGCCAGAGAAGAAGTTGCACATATGTAGCCCTTCATGAGTGTCTTTGAACAACAACCAAACAGCAGCATAGTACATATAAATAGAATAATTTCTTAGTTCACTATGAACTTCATTTTGATACATGCAATTTTCTTCCTGAGGAAGCCCATTTCCTCCTGTGATTTTATAGGAGAATTAGTGGGTTTTTTTATAGGCTGTACTTAACTAAGAATAACATTTTTTAAATACTCAATGAAAATAGTTATGGTAAAAATCACTTTACTGGCTACTATCATTTTTCCTTAACAGCCTTTTCCATACCTTATTCTAAGGTATCATCACAGGAACAGAGAAATATTTTCTCCAAAGGAAGATAATTCCCTTTGTAACCAAAAAATAAGAGGGGTGAAGGGAGCGTTAAATACACCAATCAATAATTTCAGTGTTTCAACATTTACAAATATCATACTGAGTTATGACTTCTCGGTCTTGGCTAAGATATTATATGGAGAATACAGCTGTTCTACTAATTCTAAATAGCCACCAAGGATTTTATCTAGAAGGACATGTCGAAAATAAAACTAGCAATTCATCTTCTACCTTTCTTAGCCCTCAGCGTTTTCCTCCAAAGAGTAGAAAATATCCCATCCGTCCAGTCATTCGTGGCCACATCGAGCCGCCCGAACATCTGTGGGGCCGTGATCGCTTTGGGATTCATCCTCATTTCTCGGTGCGGTTTTCCACAATCTACACCAAACACATCCAAATTTTAAACAACTCAGGTGTAGAGCAAGCCATCACCAGGCAACACTGCACTAACGCGCGGTGTGCCGTCAGCAGGTGCTCAAAACGTGAAAATGCAAAACTACAACTGAAAATATATGTCTTACTGCCTTCCCAAGTCATCACAATCAGCCTCATTATATTTCACTGACTAAAGCACATTCGTTTTTATCATCTGAAAAAGAAAACTGCGTGTTACATAAGGGAAGTAGACGGATATCATGTTAGAGTTGATGAAGGAATTCACGTCATCCAGAAGTTTTTCAAATTTCACAGGTCAAAAACCTTTGGGGTTCATGGTGTCCTAGATGAAATCTTATATCTAAATATCACCCAGAAGATGCCTCAATCTCACTTATCAGCATTGATTTTCTGAGATGTGTTCTTGCTCATTTGGGAAAAATAAGCTAAATTGGTGTTGCAGGAATCAAACACTTTATTTTGGGGCCAAGCTCAAGACTGGAATTTGAATCCTCCAAACCCTAAAATTACTCTTAAATGGGCTGGATTCTCTACGTAAGGGGCTGCAGTTAATAAGTAGAAAAGAGAAGAATAAGGCCTAAAATATAAAACCATAAAAATAGGTGCTAAAATATCACACACCGTGTGAAAGATGGACATGGGCACACATGCACACGTGCACATTAGAAAAGGTGGTACATTAAAACTCATTTAGAAAATTACACCGGAGTTATTTTTATTCAAAATCGCAAAAATAACGAAAATAATTATTTATAATATTTCATGATGCTGCAGTTCAACTTAGTCACAATTCAGCTTTTTCAGTAAATGATACCCATAAGACTGGCAATACTTTTTTTTTTTTTTT